ACGCTTCTTAAATCCATTGCCATCTAAATGAGTGATAATGTGTGCTTCCTAAGAGGTCTTTACAATTGTCTTGCATTAAAGCATGTTTGGGTGTGCTTAAAAGTTTCTCTTTTAGTATGTCTCTACGTACTTTCAGAATAAGTAACTTGTAAGTTACTTTCAAGCACACAGCCAAACATGCTTTCTCTGCTCATCACGTCCTTCAACGAGCCTTGTATTTTGGATGCTGCTACCTCCTTTTCACCCCTTTGACATATATGAATGTTTCAGGTATAGATATGGCAGTAAAGAACAAGTCCGGAGGAAAAAACTCGGAAGAGAATGTGAGCAGGAGACGTGGGATGGTGCTCCCTTTTACTCCCTTGTCACTAGCATTTGATCATGTGAACTACTATGTCGATATGCCCACTGTAAGTCACTCTGAGATTTTAGATGCATCGTTCTCTTGATGGATCCAAGCTGGAGCCTTGACAATTATGGCATGTTCACCAGGAAATGAAAAGGCAAGGAATTGAAGATGCTCGTCTTCAACTCTTGAGAGATGTCAGTGGTGCTTTCAGGCCTGGGATTCTAACAGCATTAGTCGGTGTAAGTGGTGCTGGGAAGACTACCTTGATGGATGTCTTGGCAGGAAGAAAAACAGGTGGATATATTGAAGGAAGTATCATCATTTCTGGTTATCTGAAGAATCAATCAACGTTTGCTCGCATCAGTGGTTACTGTGAACAAAATGATATTCATTCTCCACATGTCACTGTTTATGAGTCGATTGTATATTCTGCTTGGTTGCGTCTTTCTCCAGACGTAAAGAAGGAAACACGAAAGGTGTCAGTTTGCGCTTAGCTCTTAGTCCCATTATTACTTTAATGGTCTAATCTGATATTTTTACTTTAGATGTTTGTTGAAGAAGTGATGGAGTTGGTCGAGTTGAATCCCATAAGAGATGCTTTAGTTGGTCTTCCGGGAGTAGATGGTCTGTCGACTGAACAGAGAAAGAGACTTACCATAGCCGTAGAACTAGTTGCTAATCCATCCATAATCTTCATGGACGAACCCACGTCAGGTCTTGACGCGAGAGCTGCTGCAATTGTGATGCGAACTGTGAGAAACACTGTCAATACCGGACGAACTGTTGTGTGCACGATTCACCAACCGAGCATCGATATTTTTGAATCTTTTGATGAGGTAGTTAACCGTATCAATGTTGGAAATTTTCGAATTTTGGCGAGTCGCTTTACTTATCAAACTATAATGTCATCTTCTCTATAGTTATTGTTGATGAAGAGAGGAGGTCAAGTTATTTATGCCGGACCTCTTGGTCATCATTCTTCTCAGTTAATAGAATACTTTCAAGTAAGTATTATCGTGTAATTTTAGATAGGTAACATACGGTACACAACATTGGACGGGATTATACACTACCATAAAACGTCCTCTCCTTCTATCCTACTGAGTGCAGTCTAATCCATGTTACCTTGTTTTACTTGGAACAAAACGTGCCTTGTTTTTCCAGTCCGTGCCCAGGGTTCCTAAACTCAAAGAAGGTTATAATCCTGCCACTTGGATGTTGGAGATCAGCACTCCTGCGGTCGAGGCTCAACTTGACATCGACTTTGTAGAAATTTATGTCAACTCGGATCTTTACAGGTAAAAAATGTTAAAACTATGGAAAGATTTCCGTGATATCCATGATTCTTGTTTGATTATTCTCTCTCTTAGGAGGAATCAAGATCTTATCAAATTACTGAGAACTCCAGCTCCAGGATCCCAGGACCTCTATTTTCCTACCAAATATGCCCAGTCCTTCATTTCTCAGTGCAAAGCTTGTTTCTGGAAACAACACTTGTCTTACTGGAGACATCCACAATACAATGCCATCAGGTTTTTCATGACAACGGTTATCGGGATTATATTTGGAGTAATTTTCTGGAAGAAGGGAGAGAAATTGTAAGTCGTCTATGCCAAGCTCCGTAACAAACATTGAGACGAGACCTCTATCTTCTCAACTGACGTGTTAATGTCTTGCGCACAATTTGTTAAACTCCCTTTTGTTTAAAAGCTTAAGCTCTTAGAGAGGGGTCCTCTCATATGTTGGCCAGATTCATATTTTTAACAAAGACCTAACGTGCACAATTGTTATATATCACGTTCAACTACTTCATCTCAAAGCTAAGTTGCTAAAGATTGAGTGGACACACTTGTTTGTCTAAATTTCATCTTTAACAAAATTATTATTTTAATAGGTCTAAACAACAAGATCTGATGAATCTGGTTGGAGCTATGTATGCTGCCGTAATGTTTCTTGGAGGAACAAATACTTCTTCCGTGCAATCAGTTGTGGCAGTTGAAAGAACCGTCTTCTATCGGGAGAAGGCAGCCGGGATGTATTCAGCATTACCTTATGCATTTGCTCAGGTACGAGAGATTTACTTTTTAGAAAAGTAAGTTTTCTTTGCAAAAAAAAGTAACTTTAAAAATCATATTTGTTGACGTAATTTTACTTTTTATGTGTGATTAGTTTCACTCGTGAATCTTTTAATCCCATTTGTGTACAATTAATCCACCTTTCTGTTTCTTTATCCCCGCAGGTGGCTATAGAAACCATTTATGTTGCTATCCAAACTTTCATATATAGCCTTCTCCTTTACTCTATGATCGGCTTCCATTGGCAAGTAGACAAATTCTTCTGGTTCTATTTCTACATATTTATGTGTTTCGTCTACTTCACATTGTACGGGATGATGCTTGTAGCACTCACTCCAAGTTACCCCATTGCCGCAATTGTCATGTCTTTCTTTCTCAGCTTCTGGAATCTGTTCTCTGGTTTTCTTATTCCAAGAACGGTAAGTAAATCAAGAAGCATTCGAAGTTATATTATACATGCCAAGTAGAATAGGGAAGGAAACTTAAATATACTTGTAAGCAATAATTATGAGTATAATTCATAAAGCCAGAGGTATATTTCTAGGTAACTAAAATTGATTCATAAATGGTTTTATAGTGTGATATAATTCGTCAAAAAAGTTTTTAACTTCTTTTTCTTAATTAATCCTATGCAGTGTGGTTTAATCCAACATACCAAACAAACATTTAACTGGTTGCTGTTGTTGCATGCATATTTTGTTAAATGATTTTGTGGGATGAAGAAAAATCCATTTTCAGACAAAAGAAAAGCCATCTGCACTAAAAAGACCGAAGTTCAAATTACTATTCAGTTCTGAGGCATATTGTTAGAATTGCTAGAAGTAGAATGCTTTCAATCTGAGTTCTGGTGATTAAAACATTAATGTGGTTGCATTGGAATAGAGTTTGGACAAGATAAATGGTTTCCCTAGGAGTGTGAAATGCCCATTTAGTGTTCACTAGACAAAAATCTAAAAATATTCTTGATTATATGGCATTTGCAGCAAATTCCTATATGGTGGAGGTGGTATTATTGGGGTTCTCCAGTGGCTTGGACAATATATGGGCTTGTGACATCTCAAATAGGAGACAAGACAGAATCAGTTCAAGTACCAGGTTTAGGTGATATTCCATTGAAGCAATATCTTCAAGAATTCCTAGGTTTCAAATATAACTTCCTAGGAGCAGTTGCTGCAGCCCATGTTGGGTGGTCACTTCTCTTCTGCATTGTCTTTGCATATGGCATTAAGTACCTCAACTTCCAAAGGAGATAGAGGGAGGGAGGAATCTTCAAGTATATAACTAATTTCTCAATGTATTCTATTTCGATCTATACTGTTAGAGAAACGTGCAATTTCAAGATTTGAATTTCTTGGAGCAGTTGCTGCGGCTTACATATTTCGAATTGAGTAATAAGTACCAGTCTAAGTGGCAATTAAATGTTATTAAATGATAAAGTTATTCAAATACAAGGTCAAAATATTCATTTAATTACACCTATCTAGACTGGTGTTTTAGCATCAGTGATGCTAAATAGCATTATTCTTTTTGAATTTCTCAAATTATTATCGAAAGATGTGCAACTTTTTAATGACTTAATAGTTTAAAATAAGAAAAGAGAAGATAACTGTCTGTATATCATTTTTCTGTAAATTATTTATGCAAGTGAGATATTTGATGCGAATATAAAATAAATTGTCTCCATATTTTCAACTTAGTTTCTTTTCAATTTCCATTATTAGTTGTACCTACTCTTGCTGTTGCATCGACTTAAATTTTTTAAATTTCAACTGATTCTCCATAACAAGTACATTTTTTCATCAATGGTCGAGAAACAAATTAGCTGTGATTTAAGTTTAATTCTCTAGTGACCAGTCTTAGCGAGAAGGTCCAAAGTTGGACGATAGTTTTTCAACTAGACACGTCCATCGTGATTGAAATCAACGATTATATGTGAGATGACCTAAAAATATGAAGAGCAAATCCATTTGTAACCAACAGAATACTCACGTGGTGTGGGTCCCATGTGAGTAAAATATTAAAAAAAAAAAACCCACTCCCCTTGCTGTGAGGATCTTTTTTTCTTCTGTAACCTCAGAAGCAGAGTTCAAATACGAAACCAACTAGCGTAAAGTTACTTGTATAGCTTTGTTTACACCATTGTTTACAGAATGTTGACTTGGCAATTTTTGTGCAAAAACCAATGAGAAATTGCCAACCCAGCATTATGTAAACAAGGGTGTACTCCCAACAACGGGGATGACGGTATAAAATGGAATTAACAGACAACCAATATGATAATCAAACATGTTAATAGCTAATAATAGGATTCAGAGTCGAGCAATGAGGGATGGAACTTCAATTACATTCTGTACGCTGAAAAGGGGCATTTCATTAGAAAGGATTGCTAACAATTTTTCTGTTCATGCGTTCGTCTTTCTTAATCTTGTCTAATCTGGTCTATTTCAGTAGATTGTCATACCGTTTACATCTAAACTCTCTTTATGCAACGCGTACAATATCCCAATAGCAACCACACTAAGCTATGAAAAAACCATTGAGGTACCTTTCTCCACTCTTCAACTTGGCATCGGAAATCAGAAATTTTGTTGGCCTCCTTGACTGGGAGAATCTGTAGGCCGGGGCTTCATTGGATCACTAGTGCGGCGTCTTTTGGGCCTGCCTCCTTGACTGTGAAGATTGGTAGGCGGTGGCTCCATTGCACCACCATTGACGGTGTCTGTTGGGTCATTGCCTCCTTGCCTGGGAAAATCGGAAGGCAGGGGATCCATTGCACCACCATCGACGGAGGCCATCTTGTTGGAGCCACCATGGCTAGGAACACTGGTGAGCGGAGGTTGATCAGTAATGTCGAGACGCTTGTAATAGTTTCTTGACATGGCGCTCCAATTTCTTGAGAAGGGACGGAAAGTTCATTGATGTTAGCGTAACCAAAAGATCATATACCATTGTCCTCTATAGTAGTTTGTCATTATTTGTAAAATATAAATTCATACTATCAAATTTCACAAAATTAATCAAAGAAACACGTAGTAAAAATTAACATCAAGAAATGATAGAAAATATTTTGCGTAACAATAAAAATTAACATCAAGAAATTAATGATATAAAGGAACCTGCTACAAAACAGATAGTGATGAATACAAACATATTTATGCTTGTAAGCATGTATGTAATACCTATATTCTTCTTCGGAAGAAAGCTCACTAGAGTCATCGGATTGAACCGAAGTCTCCATTTTGCCTGAAGAAATCTCGTTGTCAATCGGATCATCGATCGGGTCCGCATTCGCTTCATTATAAGGAACATCAAGGAGTAAAGAATCCACGAATAAATCCTCGAAATGAGCCTTGATATCATGCGGAGACTTCCCCGGCACCCGACTGGCAATCTTTTCCCAGCGATTGTCATCCTCTTCCGGGAACTCTTTTAGCGCATCCTCGTAAAGCTTGTCATGGTCCGGATTCCAAGTCATCTCCGGCGCTGAATTCCCGCTCGGATTAACTATCACTTCACAATTTGATCAGTTTTGATACAATGCGCTTTTCCTTGTTTTGATCCTTGGGCAATGTTGCAAGAAGGTTTTGAGAGAAATTCAGAGGGTTTTATAGGTAAAAGTTTTAACAGAAAGAGGTTTCAGAAGCGGGACAAAAAGCACTACTATACTTCTTTAAATTTAAGTGGAAATTGTAAGAAATGTCCACTTTCCTCTAACCACTTTCAAAAATCCTTGAAAAAATGGCCATTTTGATATATTTTAGACCAAAATACCCATGGTCAACAATTTATGATTCCATTCAAGGACAATAAAATTGTCATTTTTGCAAAAAAAATATTGACTGATGAAATCTTAACACATAACCTGCTCCATTTATTGCAAATGACAAGATGTCAAANATTCAAATGTCGAGAAAGACATTTTAAATGTCAAAAATACATAGAGATTCAAATTTCTTTTTTTTTTCATTAAGGGCATAATAGACACTTTAGTATTAAATTTGAAAATTGGACACTTTTCAACTCACACCCTTAATTATGGACATTCGTGAAAATACTCCTAAATTTAACTTCTTGTGTAAGTATGTCTTAAATTTAATAGATGATTTCTGGAGTTCAGTTTATGAATTTCATCAAATTTGTCACAAATTAAGTATTGGGTCTATAACATAACTTAACTGATCAAATAACCTAGTGGGTGTCCTAATATGAGAAAAAGAAGAAAGCAAAGATGATAATTATTTCAAACTTCTCTATTTGAGATGTGAGAATGTGTATTGCCTAGTCTAGATGTGCTATGTCTATGTTGGGTAGGAATTAAAATTAAAATTTAAATAAAATCAATAATCAATTTTAACCACATATTTCGTGGGATTCGTAACTTTTCAACTATACATTTAATCAAATTCAGTCAAAATCTACTAACAAGAGCTATAACTTTTGACGCATGACCATTACTTATAAAGTGCCAAAATTATGTAGGTAAAGGGCCAAAATCAAGATGCTCTTATTGGGCCGACCCGTGTCCTAGCGGGCTACAAATTATTGCGCTCCTCATATTAAAGCCCAATAAAACTACACAAGGCCCAAAAAACTCACCCAATTACCTAACAAGCCATAGACATAAGGCCCACCACGAGCATCCCAATTCTTCAAAACATTGATTCTATAGACTAACCCGATTGGGGGGAGTAGTCAGGCTCGACTATCGATTAATTAACCTCTATTATGTAGGGGAGATTAAAATCAATTTTTTAGTAGATTTTGAAAAAACGATGATGAAATGTGTGACTAAAAAGTTGTGAGCCCCGTAAATTAAAATCTACTAAAAAGTTGAGATGTCAACTTTGCAAACATTTTCTGATCACAGTGCTTTATTTTCTGATTGATGAATTATCTTTAGTAACAAACTTTTGAATATCTTTCTATAGATGATTCTTTCTTTCATCTGACATCAGAGTATAGCTTCATAGTTGATGTTTTTGCATCTTAATGATCATACTTTTGAATCAGTTGTGGTTTCCACAATATTGTAATTGTGGATAATCTTCTTATTACAGTTGCTACAAATGCCTGTAAAGGGGGATGGGCCAAGGAGAACAGAAGTATTTTTCTTTGTGATGAACCTACCCCACTCTGGGCAGACTTCCAACTAGCTTCCTTGCGTGCACTTTTAGCATCTTTTCTTTCACCAGGTCCTGTTTGCCAGCCATATTTATCCCTTGGTCTGGAACTTTTTCTTGGAGGTAATCTTCGTTCTTGTCCATTATCGTTTTAGTTTATTGAAATCGAGTATGAACAAATTTACACTCCAAATTAGTATTTGGAACTTTGCTCCAGTTGAATTTGATAAAGACATCGCAGATTATCATGTGCATATGACTGAATCTTGTTTTTTATGACAAGAAGCTATCTTTGATGTCCATCCATCGGTACGTTTCACCCAAAAAATTTTGTGAAATAAATGCTTGTAATTTCTTTTAATTTGCAGGCATGCAAGAAACTGGGTCACGCCTTTCTGAATATTGTAAACATTCCCTTCTGACCCTTGAAGTGCTCATACATCCACGGACCCTTCCATTGGTAGATTTCTCTTCCACCATTGATAACTACGAAGGTCTGAGCAGCAAGTTTCCAAAGAATATTCCCTTTCAGACCAGGACTCTTGGAAAAGATATCGTTGAGCCTGAATCAGATGATGAACTATATAAAATGGGCTTGAAAGAAATGATGAAATGGAAGAAGTTCAAGTTACTGAAAGTCAAAGGAACACAAATTATACTATAGAACCATCTGCAGCTGTAAAAGATCCTTCACCAGTAAAGCTTCCCAACGAAAGTGATCCAGGGGTGTCGTTTCGGCATCTGGTACCACTGAGAGAATTGCATTCGATAGGGACGATGTTATGGTTGAATTCCAAGAAACAAATAGTGCTGATGGTGACCATCTTGGAGAACATGCGCCCAATAGAGTGGCTGGAGATTATCATGAAGGTCATACGAGTAGGATAGTTTTCAAAAATGATGCATTAGATCCAATCACTAAGATAGCTCAGGTTTCTAACGATACTGCAATGAAGAGTGATATACATGAAGCAAATGCTGAAAAGAATGTGTCGGGAGCCAAAGATGGCGGATTCAGTACTTAATGGAAAGAATATCATCTATACTAATAGCCAATTCGGAGAAAAGCAAAGGAATAACAAGTGAATCTGATAATGAATTGTCTATGGATTCACTTCCTGATATCATTGATGTGGATCCACATTCAGACTAAATTTTAATTTTCTAGCATGAAGAGGATATAACAGCAAATTCTCAAGAGGGTGTATTCAATCTAGAACCATGATTTTTATTTAGATAGTGCTTAGTGACGTTTTATTGTCTTCTTCTTGGGCTTCTTGTTACATTGTTAAACTATTTTTCTTCTTCTTTGAATTTGAGAATTGTGAAAACGAATGCAATTTACTAGAAAAATTATTTATAGTGTATGAACAGAAGACAACAGCTTGATATTTGTCAAGGACTTGATAATCCATGGCACCATGTATCGCCTCTTGGTCATTGAGCTTTAGAACTCTGGTCCCAGAAAGATGTAAACTGGGTCATGTCGTTTTGAGGTGGCTCTTTGTTGCTCAACTCATCTAAAATTCTTTGAGACTGCAATGTTCGATAGTCGGGCCTAGCACAGCCTGGCTCTATAGATGGGTTAGACTCGGCATGGCACAATTTTAGATGGCCCATTGTTGCTCAATTCACCTAAAATTCTATGAGACTGTAAGGTTCGATAACTAGACCGAGCATGACTTGGCTCTATGGATGGGTTGGACTAGACATGGCATGATTTTGAGGTGGCCCATTGTTGCTCAACTCACCTAAAATTCTATGAGACTGGAAGGTCCAATAGTTGGCCCGAGCATGACCTGGCTCTATGGACAAGTTGGCACATGGCATGGTTCGTGCTGTGCTATCCTAAACCTGAGCGAAACACCAAGTATCTATCAGTAATATGACATTGATTTTTCACGAGTGATATGCAACCGAGGGCACAAGTAACTTATAGTTCCATTAATTAGCTATGCCTACATGATAACTGTTTTTGTTGGCAACATTGGTACAATAGCAATGACTTTCATTTCCTCAACTAATGTTATCAACTAATTTTATATATATATAATTTGGGATGCTACGTCGTTCTGATATCAATGTCGTCTCTTGTGATAATGTGATACTTGCAAGAGAATTGAGTCGAAATCGCTTGGTGGTTGAACTGTATAGAATTAAGTCGAAATTACTTGGGGGTTGGACCGTATAATAGTTGGGACCACTTAATTGTTCAACTAGATTGTTCATTGGTTACTTGTAGGAAAACATAGTTTGGACCGCTTACATAAAATGTTTTAGGTATTGTGGGACCCACTCAATTGTATGAATACTAAAAGAATCTTGCTACACAAACAAGGGCATTTAATAGGATTTTAAAATAAGGGACACGTGTCAAACATTCATTGGACAGTTTGAAAAAAAAAAAAGAGTTACACTGGTGCTGACACGCAACACTTGTCACCCAATCCTGTCAACTGCTAGTAGTAGCTTAATTGAAACAAAAAATGCCTACTTTATTATTGGCCCCTGTGATTTACTGGATGTCTAAACCAAGAATTGCAACTGATGTAGCTCATTCAATATTAGTATCAAAACACTTAAATTATCAAAAACTGAAAAAGGAAAACTAGGTCATGTTCATCATCTCAAGTGATAAAAATATAATTCGTGACCAACCATTTTTTATATGTGACCTAAAAATTATATAATATGTGACTGTAAAAAAATCATTGACCAATTAATTTAGAAATCTGTGACTGTGTGATCTATAAATTTTGATCTGTGACCAACTAATTTTGAAATCTGTGACCAACGAATTAATTGTGACCTATAAACTTTTTGAAGTGACCATAAATTGTAAACATGTGACTAGAATGGTCATCGGAATAGTCGCCGGAATCAGAACAGTCGCCGAGCATCTGATAGACAGCGTGGGAAGCGATTGACTGCAGTCCCCGAGCCCTGATGAAATTCTTCGAAGTTATTCACCGGGCTTGGACCATGGTACATGCAGAGAAACCTTTAGTCATGATTGTTCATTGGTTACATATTTGAAAGACATAAATTTCATTTAATTTGAGTAGCAATGAAATCCATTTGGGGTTGGTGAAAAAATAGCATATACCCGTTGCCCCTAGTCCAAGAAAGTGTGCTACAAACTTCTTTGGTGCTCGATTTTTAAAGAAGTTATTGTTTCACAATAGTAGTGCAAGTTTGACAAAGCAAGTTAGAAGAAAGGTAAATATACAAAATTAACATATCCTTCTCTAGTCGATAATGATCTATTTACTTTTGATTTTTAGTAGATTGAACTCAAGAAGTTGGTTTCAAGATGTCAAACTTTTTCATCGATGTGAGCTCTAAAAAAAATTCGATGTGGCAACAATTGACTCGACATAGTAAAGCAAGTAAGTCCATATTAAAAAATAAAAAATTAATTAATTATTTCTAATTTTTTATATATTTTTTTTTCATGCATTGGGCCCACACCAAACTATAAACAAACATTTCATTCAACAATGGAGGTTCGTTCTCTATGACTATCCTATGACCATTCAGTCTACGCACTAGCGCCGCATATTCCTGTAATCATATATTGAAAACTGTATATATATACGCGCACTCATATATATATATATATAGAGAGAGAGAGAGGGGGGGATCCTCATTTACTTGGGTAGTGAGATCTGATTCTACACAGTTTTTTCTCTCTCTAGCATCGAAATTCACGCATTTTATTGAAGTGAAAAAATGGCGGACAAATGGGTGTTGACGGTGACGGCACAAACGCCGACGAATATAGCAGTGATAAAGTACTGGGGAAAGAGGAACGAGTGTTTGATACTGCCTATTAATGATATCATCAGTGTCACTCTCGATCCGCAGCACCTTTGCACCACCACCTCCGTCACTGTCAGCCCTGCCTTCACCCACGACCGCATGTGGCTCAACGGCAAGGTATATGTTGGGAGGAGATCAACTGATTAGCTTACGATCAACCAAATAAATGGAAACCAAAAAAATAACAACAATCAGGTAACTGAAAGCCTAAAACATTAAACAGCAAACTTAAACAAGAAATCAACACAAGAAACTACTGAAAACGAAGTACAAGGACTTATCTTTCGCATAAATGACCACAAGTTCAAGATTCATACAGCTCTTTGCTTAATCACTCAAGAACGAACACCACAATGTTCGAATCAAACCCCAAGGTAGAAGATACAAAACTATAGCACTACAAAAGTATAGCACTCAGACAAGGCAGATTATTACAC